CTACAATGTGAGTCCGTTAGCAGAGCTGCATAGCTTCCTGATGACAAAAACAGAATTTCCAAAAGATTTCAGCTCCAGATGTTGCTGATATACAGTGCCTTGCAAAATTATTAAAAATACCCAAAACAAAACAAAACATTTCCCCAGTTTGACTCGTTCTGATTACAAACTTCAATAAAAGTTCTTTACAAGGTTACTTGCGAAATGCGAAGATGAAGGAAACTGATGCGTGACTTTAATTTAGCTCTCGTTTACTTTAAAACCCCTAAGTAAAACCAAAGCAAACAATAACCTTCAGAAGTCACGTAAATATTGTCAAACATGAGATTAATTTAATTTCAATCCCGGTGCGCGCACAGCTGTTCCATGAAGGTGTTGCAACAACCTCTGCAGGAACGTAGTGGTTAGGCTGGGGCATTTATCTGTCACATGCAGCACTGATTACTGATACAGGACACCTGAGGACCTGGTAAGGCCATCAGCTTTTTAAACCCCAGCCTGCCGACTAACTTGCCTCTGGCTCTGGATCACTTTGAGTTCACGCAGCAGCACTTTCACACACATCCTCCACTCATACACACCGTACCGATTTCACGTTCACACGTCATATTAGGAGCTTCGATTTTGACCTTAATTTGAGTTGAATAAGTTTATATTTGAGACACACTCCATGTAGTGTGTTCCTCTTAAAAGGGTTAAACTGTGTGTGTGTAACGTTTTTGTAACAAGGTGCCCAGCTCTCTCCGTGGTAGTGTAGCTCAGATAGAGCGGACCTCCGACTAACAGACACGGTTGTAATGGCAGAGACAGAGATGCCTCACTAAGGGTCAGATCTTTAAGAGATTCCAAATAAGGAGCTCTAAATTGCTTGTGCAGATATTAAATGTGTTTCATACAAGCCCCATAAAGGGACTTTAGTGGTTGGTAATTCTTTTTATTCGTTTTATATTCAACATTCTTTGGCTCGGTGATGGTTTTCTTCTCTCTGGTGTCAGTTAATTTATTCGTTTTTGTTTGTCAAATAACATGGCTCAATATTAAAGCTTAATCTCGATGTTTTTTGTTTTGTTTTTACTGCGTAGACATTGTTAAAAGTCTGACTGCGCTACTTTTGCTCGCACAATATGTGGAACATGCAGGAGACAAATATACTCTGTCACCTTTTCGGGCCGACAAACGTGATGATGATGGAAATATTAGGTTGTCCTGAATAGCCAGAGGATATTTGTTTTTTTGTTTTTATTTTTATTATTATTTTTAAATCTTCCAGATATTTGATCAACAGCGTTTTGTGTCAGACGCATTTTGGATTAGCTTGTGAAAATCTGAACTGTGTTTTGATCACTAATGTCAGGCTGTGCGTGAATATTTGCACCACATGCGTGAAAAGTTACTGCTTTACAAAGAAACTGGAATGAAAACAGATTTGTAGCCACAACTCACATTTATTGTTTTGGATCCAGTTTGACACATTAATCCTTGATTTAACCATTAAGCATACGATGTAATGATGAAAAAAATGGGAGATTTACTCGGAGTTATCTTCGTACAGACAAGCATGTGGTAGTAATACTGTCGATCTCTGTTGTGTTCGGCTGCTCATGAGGTCGGTCACATCCATCTTTTAGCATTTTTCCAGACTCCGTTTGGGTTTTGGGACTGGAGTAAACTCTATTCCACCCTCTAAGTGCCCAGGGTAAAGCATGTCTTAAGTGCATGTTCCCCACTGACAATGTTTAACTTTTTTTTTTCACCAAACCTCCATCACCAAACCTCTACGACCGCATGGCATTCGTAATGATAAACCCAGGCAACTTTGGTTTACTTTGGGAAAAATTGTGACTCCTGAATTGTCAGTTGTTGACAAACCCAGTGGATTGAATGACAGGTGGCGTCATGTCAACTGGGGGCTTGTCCGGGATCTGAACCCGGGACGTGTCTGAGGTCTCAACAGAATGGTTCAGAGGCTTGTTGGAGAACATTGGTGAACAGAGAGTCTCATGAAGACCAAAGAACACAGCAGACAGAGCTCAAGGACAAATGTATGGAGAAGTTTAAAGCAGGGTCAAGTTACTGGAACATCTCAGAACAGAACTCTTTTTGTTGTGTTTTATGCACTTGGACAACAATGTAGATATTTCGCTTCAGCTTGTTCGCTTCCACTATCTGGTTTTTGAATATGCAGGGGAAAAAAAACAAACTTTTTGTGCATTTGATTCTTCAATCAAATAACTACTATAATAATAATTTAGTCAAATGTCAAAAAATTTTCAAAAATGAAAATTACAACATCGTTGTTCACGAAAGAGGCTGTCTGAAGAAAAGTGCGGCGCTCTCTGTGTGAGAGCATTTCAGGAAACTGCAGGTATGGGGCATAATATGTGAAGTCCCAAAGGAGGTCTGCGCTATTGTATGAAAGATGTGTGTAAATGCTAACAACCAGGAACCACGTGACTGTGCATCAACCGTTCAGCTTCAGATGAAGTATGTGGCTGTCTACTTGTGCACCCCACAAATCTAACCTTTTTGGAGGAGTGGCAAGGGGAGAAAAAAAATCATTGTTAAAAGAAAGTCACAAATATTTTCTTCAGTGATAAGGAAGCTGGAGATAGTTGTTGGAAAAATGGATGGAAACCTGTTGGAGGCTGAAGAAGAGTTGAGACAGGGACAAAGATTCACTTTCAATCAAAGCAACGATCCTAAAGATTCAGAGCTAGCATGGAATGATTTAGATCAGAGCATGTTCATGTGCAGGAATAGCCCGGTTAAAGTCCAGACATAAATCCAGTTGACAATTTTTTTTAAGCTATGAAAATTGATGTTCACAGACATTGAACTGTTTTGCAGAGAAGAACGGGGAGAAAAGATTTCAGACTGTGGATGTGCAAAGCTGGTAGAGACATACTCCCAAAACACCTACAGCTGTGACTGTAGCAAAATGTGGCTAGGAGTATTGGCACTGGAGGCCAGTTGTAAAAAAAACAAAACATTTACCATATTGTTGTGCTCTGGTTTGTGTCGGCCCAGCAGATGAATCCCAGTAAAATAGATTATAGTTTGTGACTCTAATGTGGCAGAATATGACAGGCTTTAAGGGCATGACTACTTTTGCATCCACTTGGAGCAACTGGTGCATTCTCACATTTAGAAATCACAGCTAAAACAGCAGATGTGGACTTAGGTAAGAATATTTCTGGAGGTATTTTGTTTACCAGAGTGTGAGACCTTCTTTCAGTAAACTCCCATTAATGTAGGGAAGTTATAAGGTGGCAAAAAGTCTGAGAATTGTTATTTTAGCTCCGGTCCACCCACTGGTTTCCCCTCTCGCTGCCTGAATCATAAAAGGTCAGGAAGCAGCATGACCCCAATCAAGCCTGTAAATGTGGTCTCATAACCTGCCAGTGGTCTCGGACTGCACGCGGCTCGGCTCGGCTCGGCCCGGCTCACGACGGCGAGGGCCCCGGTGAGTCAAAAAACCACGGAGAAACACAACTATTTCTGAGCGACCAAACGCCGGGCCCAGCCCTCCGCTCGTTCACAAGTCACAACACAACGTTTACACAACCAGGCCTGCTGCGGTCTGCGTCCCACTGAAAATACCTTGGTACAAAGTCAGAATGTTTTCTTGGCACACTCGGCCTCAGACGGGCCGAGCATAATGACATTTTCAGCGATAGGCCCCTGGCTCGCTGAAATGCAATGCCTTTGACAGATGTCTCGGTCTGCAATTACAAAAAACTTAAGATACACCAAACGGGAGAGAGCGAGAGAGCGAGCGAGAGAGAGAGGGAGAGAGAGAGTGCTGGGTGTTGTGGTTTCTTCTGGAGGAAAGCTACTGGGGGAGTATCAGGTTCTACCGGTTATCTCTGCCACATCTCAGCTATCTAAACATCTCCGAACACGAACGCACATGCAGGGCAGAGAGTGCGTCTGGAGAGCACATGCTGTTGCCGAACTAATTATGGGAAAATAAATTCACCCAGCTGACAGTGAGTTGTGATAGAATGCAGGCAAGAGTGGTGGGATAGGAGCCCAAACAAAATAAATAAATAAATAAATAAATAAAATAATATAATTATAATGTTTTAGTCATTCTGCAATTTTAATTCAAAAGCTCTTAAGTTGGTAATAATCAAACTTTTCAGGAGAAACAATGCCTGCCTGGCCAGACTGAGCTTTATTATTGCACAATCTGTTGTTGGATCCTATAACTGCTGAGCTGACTGAGCTTTTCAGAATGCCTTAATATAGAAGTGCAGCACGTTTGTGTTTGACTTTTTTTTTTTTTTTTTTGTTGTTTTTCATTTACGGGGCGTTTCTGCCAGCCCCATCACAAACTCTTCACCACAGG